AGGCAAAGGACTACAAGCAACTGCTTCATGACTAGCACGTAGTCTGCAATGAGTGGCATTAGCAGTTAGTTCTAGTTTTATCTTACTTAGATTCGCAGACACATTACCTTCGATGTATGCAAATGTGCTTCACTCCAAGAGTCACTGCCATCTCGCTGTAGGCAACACTTCCAGCACGATTGAACTAAATATCAGTTCATTCGTTGGCTACTTCTGAATATGTTGGGGAATATTGCTCTCACTCGCGCTTTTTTTCACGTTAAGCATGAGTGATATGGTTATGAATGAGCATGGATACAGTAGTCTCAATAACGATGAAAAGAATTTTTACGGTATTCTAAGCTTCTATTTTTAGGCATTGTTTTTGGCAAAATAAACTAAAAGAAGTCTTAAATGTGCTAAGATCGAATGAATTCAGAAGGGATGCACGTGAATGAATGCGTACAAAACGTTTGCTTGCATGAACTGCAGTCTAAATAACTCATTCTAATTTATTCTTTCTGTGCACTGGTGATGAGTGTTTTTGAAAATGAAATGAGAATGATAAAAAAAATTTATGGATACAATATGGTAATCAAAATAGATGCTGTAAGTAGAAGTAGTGTTGATTCGGCAATTCGTTGAGTGCTCAACACAGAAAACGGCACGTTAATTACGTGAGGAAAAGACAACAGCGGAAATTCACAACATTATAAGCAACTAACTTACTCTCAACACTATTTGTATGGACAGAGTGGACAATGTGACCATATATGTCACTTTCGCTATGTCTGCCATAGATCAAATTTGAGTCATATCAATGTGTAGATGAGAATTAGTTGATGAGTTGAAGCGTCTTTCCAAGCAAATTGGTTGAAATGACAGATTGATTCTGATATCTTCTTGAATACAGTGAGCTATCGTTAGTAGCTTTCGTGATAGAATGAATCTCACTCAGATGTGATATAATTTCAGATTATCTTTTCGTGATTTATTGGATAATTCAGTGGCCTGAGAGTAACTCTAAGGAAACTCTGCAAATCTCAACGGACTTTTCACAAGTAGGAATTGGTGATGCCAGCAACGCATGGCAATTACTGAAGGATTACAGTAGCCATGAATATTGTCCATTAGCACTGCTACGTTCATTACTATTAGCTTTACATTTTAACTTCAAAAAAATGTTTGCTTTCTATTTGCATGAATTGTGTGAATAGGCAGTTGTCTTGCGCTCGCACATCTTATTTATACGATTGTATTTTTGAGAATAAAATCCTCAAAGTTCATTCCTATTTTATTTATCTCTCATATAAACCGTAATTGAAATGCGACAGAGTCGTACCGAAGTTTTGTTTAAGAAAGATGATAAAATGTTGTCAATAAATGGATTCTACAAGCGATACTTTTATTGTCCTTCAATGGCAATACTTTCAAAAACCTGAAAAGGTAGTGTTCCCTAACCTAGGTTTCAGAAAATTCCAGATGCTAACATAAAGCGATTTTGTTGGTAGTTATCTTCATCTTACTCATATACAAAAGTTCTCACAGTCAGTTTGGAATTTCAATTATAATTTGCATTGCATCTCTCATCTCCAAAGCAGATATCCTTTTCAATTCACTATACTTTCGTGTGAACATCGTTATTCTGGAGCACTGTCATGGAGAAGGCATTTGTCACTTCATGAGATCAGAAAATATTCGATTCTGTCAATAGTTTTAGCGGTATAAGATTTATCTTTGATTATCTGATCTGTTCTCAGGGTCAACATTTCCACCTCTTGATATCATCCGCAATTAATAGTACACGCCCTCATTAATAGCACATCTCTAGAGTGTTTTTTGCTTCGAAGGATGCTAATGGTAGCAAAGATTTCAATAATGACTGCACTATCACAGGAATTTAAATAATGCATTCACATGTTAGTCTTTGGTATATAAATTCATTCATGAATATTACATAAATTTTCTTTATAGGAAAGCATTTAAGTTAGAGCATGAATCATATTAAGTCATACAAGATCTTTTGGCGTTAATTTGAAATATAATAGGTAAACAATCAAGGGCCCTGCATTAGTAGCTGAAACAAGTCTGTGAATTATAGCATGAGAAAATGAGCAATCACAATTACAGAGAAGGAAATATTCAAAAGCAGATTGCATTTGCGCAGTAAGACAAACAACTACGTGGTCGTCAGTCCCTTCCCGTCTGCCACTGTATTCATGCAACCACCAAAGACTAAAACTGATTCCTCCTCTTCAAGAATCAGTTGACAAATGAATCATTTCTACACACAATCTATGAACAAAGTATTCAGCTATTTCTAAGCCACAAAAACATGAAGTCAGCATCAGTCTGCAGCAGAAGTGGTATTTTCACTTTTATTGACTAAAATTACACCTGCATATGCTTCCTGCGGTGCATTGACATATAACTTAGACGACATATAACAGTTGACCATAAAGCTATCATAGAGTGCTCAAGTTGATGTCAGTGCCTTAACTATCTAGACGGTCATAATACAACATTCACGCCCTTTCCTTGCGCTTCAGTGTTCCCGTATTCCCCAGTTTTAATGCTCTGAAAGTTTAAAAATCTCCTGCTGCTGTATGTATTCTAAAAAAACAGAATCACCTATGACACTCCTGATGTCCAAGGAGTGGCATGACACTAATCCTCCATGTGTTACTCTTCGAATGACCACAAAATCAAACAATTTTTTTATGCGAAACCCATGCAGATTTCGAATTAAATCATCACCCTGTGATCAGCAACCTAATTTGAGGGCAAAAGTTCAAACATAGTGGTCAGACATTTTGATCTTATGAGCATAAATACAGCAATGAATAGTTTGATGCTCAACAGAAACTACAGAAATTACACTTCAAACTTCCACCACATACCTTAGAACATTCTCGGATTAGATTTGTAATAATTAGGATTACTGCAAGTGCGTACAGTGCGATGAGAATATATTCACGAACACCAATTTCGATTTCTGCAAAATATCACCTCAACACTTTCACATCACAATGATGGATATCCGATCACAAAGCCATGAAAAGCATCCTTCATATGGAACAGCTTTGTTCAAACTTTATCAAGTTGGAAACTGCCTCTAAGAACCGTAATATTAAGTCTTAAGTGGTACTCGAGTGGATTCATAGCGAACGATTGAAAGCAATGCAGAATTCATCTGGAGAGATCTGCCTCCTGCAGTACTAGCAAAAATTTAATCGCTAGTTTATAGGAAAACTGAAGACAAAATTTGCAAATTAATCAAATTCTATACGCGATTTAGCTGCGCGATCATCTGTGTGATCAACTGCGCGATCAACGTCACGATCATCTGCACTATCATCTGCGCGATCATCTGTGCACTGCACTGTCCATATCATTGAATGCTTTTTCGTCTCAATTTTCATCAGCTGGCAAAATCGAACAGTACTATTCACCTTAAAGCAATAAATTAAGCAATAAGAATTCAAGCTTAGTTCACAAGCTCCTTGATGACGAATGAAGTCACTGGATACAACTTGCTAGTGGCTGTATCAAGCGTAGGCCCTCATCTTTTGATTCAAAAGATCAGTTCTTCATGCGCAAATACTGCGCAGCTTACACTCTTACGCCCTCAGTTATTTTGAAAATATCAAGAGTACATTTCTTGCTCATAATCTCAAGTACGCATTAAAAGTTGTCAGATTACTCTTCACCGTTGGAAGTGAGGCAATATGAAATCAACCTTGTCTTTGTATCTCATAGAAAAACCATGCTCAGTTATGCCAAAAATGAGATTCAAATAATTCCCACAACTCGTCCATCGAGTTTGATTACCAAACAAAATAACGTCAGTCTCGTTAATCGTCAAATTCAGTGGTGGAAAGCAGTCAACAGAAGCAACAAATTGCTGAAAAGTCATATCTTGCATCCATAATATTTCTTAATATCAATTCACGTGTGACAACAATTGGTTTTGCCTGCAAAATTAAAAGGCGTAAGTTCAAAGATTAACATCACTCAGCCCTTCCTTATACTTTGTAGGACTTGTAGTACAGTACACCACAGAACAGACAGATGTTACTGTGCAACAGTGCGTGAAAAGCTTTTAGTAGTTTTCCGGAGTTGAAGGAATTACCAAAGTTTTAGCGTAGTTCTTTGAAACTT